AGTTTCACTAGTCTTAGTTGAGAGTGTTAAACTGAAATATGTTTGACTTGGAGCTGAATGATTTTTGTTAATAAACTCTTATATTTTGAGCAGAAGTTGTGGTGAATTTATTCAATGTATGTGCAGAATTAACTTTTTGACCATGATTTGAGCTCAGTTACTCGAATTTATTGTTCTAACACACAGCTAGTGGGCAGAATTAATAATCCACCACCTTCTACTGGTCCTTCTGCGGTTGCCTGGGAGTCGAATCCAGTATTTATAAGTTAAGTGGCATAGAACGCCCAGAACATTTTGCTCGTCTTCCACAGATATCAAAGAAAACAATGCTCACATTTAGTGTTCCCTGAGAGCAATTTGGAGAGCAACCATCCTAACAACAGATGTAATTGGATTGTGGGAGGAACCCACAGAGAGCCCATTGATCCATGCAAACTCCCCCCATACTCAGGACTTTCTGACTCTAAGTGCAGCATGTTAGTTTTGCCATCTGGGGATATCCCTTTTGCAGATAAATCCGTCAAGGCTACCAACTTGGACACTTGGGGGAAACCCCTCCCCTAAAATAAATGAAGGGTTTTGAATGTGAGCACGATTTTCTATTTCAGTATCATACGAGCAAAGTACCTTTGTGGTGCTCCTGTCCTGTCATGGCTAATGGAAAACTGCAAACTGGATTTATGGAGGCTCTCCTTTCAACAAAGGCTTCTTCCTTTCCACTCTTCACATAAGGCAAATAAGTAGAGAGGTCCTAGCCTTTCTGCCAACACTGTCTTCCACCTTATAGGTGGATCAGGAGAGCTCCACCCCGGACCTGTACATGTAGAATTCTTATACTAACATCACCCTACACACAGGAAGGCTCCATTTACTATTAAGCCTCTTTCCCATTGAAAATACTGTGTTAAGGCGTTGAAGGATGGAAAAGGATTATTATAATTTTTTTTTTAAACATGGGTCTACCCACTAACAATCTGACTTTAGCTCTGCTCCCATTGACAAAAAAGCTGGGTCTAGCTCCTAGCTCACACCTGCGAGTGTTACTAGTGTGACAGAAATCTGGAAAGTAAACAATGGAGAGCAACATGTAAGGAAACCAGGGCGTTTCACTGTATTATCTGTCCAAATCCCTCTTACCAGTGCTGCGGCATGTTTATTGAATGTAAACAGAGTTTTTTAGGCTTGTTAGATCAGAAGCAACTGACGCGGTGTGTTGAAGTTCATACGTTGCACTCAATGGTATCACGTAAATTACCATGTCAACCCGGCTCTGGTGTTCCCACAGCATGCTGATCAGAGCCAAAGAGATTCTAACGCTGGTCGCTTGCCGAGTTGTTTGTCCGGGGTAGACATGGGTCAGTGAGCTGTTCCCACTGCCACTAAAAGCCAATAGTTCCCAGGTTTAAACAGGTTTTTCAGCCAGTGGGAAAAGGGTATTAGTTGACCTTAGAAGGCAACACTTGGTTTAATCAGTGTGCAGGGATGAGTGCATTAGAGTTAGAGACTTACCTTTAAAGGGACAGAGTTTTCTTCATCTGAATCTTTGAACTGCATGCAGACAGCAATGTTTCTAGCCTGAAAAAGTGGGAATGAAAGTCAGTGACCAAACAAATGGTCAGTGACCCACTGAGCCCAATGTGTCACATCTGCTTCACTGTCAGCAGAGGGTGCAGCCCACACCATCAGAACACCCACAGCGCTCTGGTTAGAATTACCTTAGTGAAGCTCTTCTGGTTGTCATATTTGAGCTGGAGGGGGTAGATGTAGAGCTGGTTCTTGTAGACGGTGAAAGGGTATTTGTACTTGGCCTCAACTGGGAGGAACTCCTCGATCTCAACAGAAACACGTTCACAGCCGTCCTCGAAGGGTTTGATGGGGATGTAGGAAGACGTCACAGTGTCTGAGGCACAGAGAGCACTGACTGATACGCTCTGTCTGGTTGTATTATGGACTCGGCTCAAATGCACAAAACCACAACATTTTACATACTTAATAGACACTAAGAATGATGCAAGGTGATTTTAAAGTACAAAGGATTCTTATTTCCTTTTCTACTGTCCATCAGCAAAAACTTAATCCACTTGCCTCCCAATTATTGTCAGTAACACTCATCTGACAAGTTACTTGTTACAGTGATTTTTGCAGGATTCTCTTAATTTTATAAAATGCTCCAGATAAAATGACTGTAAGATGAATGAGTTGATAAGACAATGCAAATCGTAGTGGGCAAAACATTGAGCTTATAGATAAAAAGCTGACAAATGCAGAAAACCCAAATTAAATCAACTAAAACAGCTAAATACCAACAAACATAACACATTTCAGATTTTCATAACTATTTTTTTTACTAGATATTGTTTTATTTTCACTTTAAATTATTTGCTACTTTGTGTTGATCTATCAAATAAAACCAGAATAAAATATATGAAGTTCAAAGGGTTTGAATCTATTTACAAAGCACAGCATTCTTACTTTATCCATAATTAATTGTAGGTTGGGAAAACATGACCATGAACATACTTGAGAAATCGGGTGGCACACATTCAATGGTCACATTCAGCTGTCCTGGGATGATCTGAAGTTTGCTCTTCTCAGGTCTGAAAGTGAATAGAAGGAATTTTTAACGCTGGATAACATAACAGAAAGGGAACAGATTGGATTTTCCACAGTGATATTTTTCACTGACTCCTAGTGCAGTGCATGACAGCTCTTTGTAATGTTAACCAAGAAGTGATGATGAGTCACCTTCTGATGTCGGCCAGCAGCTTGAGGAGGTCATCTGTGGAGATTCTGCTGCTGTCCTGGCGATAGAGCGGAGAAAACTTCCCATCCATGTCCAGGCTGCCCTGAGCATCTTTAAACACCTGCCTGGATCAAATCGCTCAGCATTAAGATCCAACAAACTGCACAAACCACATCAGTCCTTCACACATTAGCAGTCTTACTTGGCAGCCCAGGCGAAAGGCATCCTGTACTGGCCCAGGCGATGGCAGGTCTGTTTAGCACCTTTGAGGACCTTCTGGGCCGTCTGTGGAAACATGGGAGGGGACACACAGTTAACCACAGAGCCGCACGTTGGCATGTAAATATGTTGAATATAAACAACATCTGAACCTTGTTGATGTCGGAGGTTTTGATGTAAGGCTCAGCGCAGTGGGTGATCCCATTCTGCAGCACCTTTTCCACACGAGCCACCAGGAAGATATCAGAATGAGGGTTGGTGACTGAAAAAATGCCCTGGAGGGTGAACAATGGAGAAACAAACAATAAAAGATAAGTCCAGTACTTTCAAAACTGAACCAAACTCCCTTTGTCACACAGCTATTTTCAGTCTAAGAAACAATACAGCACAACTGCAATCCAACCAAGACACTTGCAGCCATGCATCTAAACTGACATAGCAAATAAGGACACCCCTCATCAATAAAGCATCCCTATAGTCTATATTAGTAGCTGATGCATCATCCCACTGAGTATAAAGACTGCATTTCACTTTATGTTACCATGGTGAAATGTAAAATTCAGACCCATTGTGCATCATAATGTTATGTGATATCGTTGCACTCATTTTGTTTGCAGGGTAAGACGAGATCGAAAAGATTTATTGAAAAGGTGTAACAGAAAAAACATGTTTAATGACAGGATCTGGATGAACAACGTGGGCAGAGGAATAGAACATTTTCTTTCCACTTAAAGCTACAGTGTGTAATTTTCAGCGACATCTAACGTCCAGACTGCAGACCGCAGCAACATGAACATCTCCCCCCCACCGCTTCTCCCCCCCAACAGTACGGCGAGCGTTACGGGACAAAATGTCTTCCACGACGTCCGCATCACCTACCTTCTCAAGTGATGAGGTTTGTTTACATAGATAATTTTACAGATAGTATTTCATTAGTCTGTGTAGGGTATAGATTTCAGTTCATCTCTCTCAACTTGCCGTAGTTGCTTTCGAGCGTAATGGGCGATCTCGCAATCGCTAGTTTGTTGGCTCTGCGCTGTCGTAGCGCAAAGATGTCTGCCTCCATGGCTGCGAGACCCGCTCCTATGTATTTATAAATAACGAATTCTAAGGCAACGCAAATATTAAGGTTAAGAGGCTGAGCTCGTAGATGATGATAAATAACATAGTTATGTATAATATATTACATTTCTGACTGTATATCCCTGTAATTATTACACACTGTAGCTTTAAAATTAAAGTGTAATAAGAAACATTTAAGGCATGTGGTAACGTGTCAAAAAATAATAGAAATTTAATCTGGCATGAATGTTTTAGATGGCATTATATTCCATTTTCATCTTAATGTTTCCCATTAAAAAAGATGAATACCTCATATTTTTGATGGGTACCTTACATCCCTTACAAGGGCGTTCAAGGGGTCATGAAACCAGAAAGGACCTCACAGAAACAAGCGCAGAGGAAGCAGCTTTAACAAGAGTGAGGCTGTGCAGGAAAACCACAAGGGCTAACGTCTATATTTGGTCTGGTGTGATGATGATCTGCTGTTATTGCTCAAAGTTTCATTTCAGACAAACAACCTAAGGAGGAAGGAAACAAAGCCTTTAGAAGAGAGAGCGCCCCCTTCTCTGATCAACGCTCCATCTGTTGCTTTCAGCTGATTCACCAACAGCTTCTGTAGCATGGTGGGGAAAAAAGCTGCAAGTGCAGCATTTTAGTTTCCAGAGCCCCAAGTCGTTTTTTTTTTGTTTTGTTTGTTTTTTTGCCAACATCATGGTAGAATGCAAGCTGAAACTCATCATCACATGCACACAGGCAGATGATTCACAACTCAAATTGTGTAATGAGCAGGCACAGAGACTTTATCTGAAGGCCGTGTCCTTGGACCTCACCCAATCCAACTAAATGAAAATGAAACAGAGCTGAGCTATAATCATCAAGGAGGAACCTGTTTTCCTTTCAGACTGAATAGAACAATGTGTAGCTTCTAGGAACTGCTGCTTTGCTGTACGAAGCCCTTCTCTTTTTGTGTTTTTAAAAATAAGTGTTTAATGATCTTGAACTTAGGGGAATTAAATCTAATTAAATCTTACGGTAACTAATTTTGAATGAGTTGAAGATGTTGGTCGCTGTAGGCAGGAAGGAGTTTGGGTAGTGGTCTGTTCTACTCTGGAAGAGCCTTTAAAATAGTATGCTCACTGTTATCCACCATTTTCTTAATTTTATGGGGAATAATTTTTTTGTGAAATTATCTCTACAGGTTCTGGAGGAGTTCTAGAAGCACTAAAATATAACCGCCCATATCAATCATACTGCTGGAGGTTCAATCACTCTTCAAATCTCAATCTTACTTCAAGCTATTGCAGGTTAGCAGGTGTTAAATCTTGGAGTGGTCTTTATACTTTTTAGTCTCATAAGTTTTAGTGGATTGGTTTTTGAGGCACCGTTTGTGTTTTCATGCTCCCATATCATCAAATCTGAGCATTATAAGAAATAGTACCTTTTTTTATGAACAGAGCCCACAGAGGAAACTGAACAGAGTTAGAGAGTTGGGCCTCTTAAGCACTAAATAAACATTCATACCTGCGTTGGGAAGCGGAGCAGAGCTTCTGACACCCTCTGCACAACAGGAAGGCCGTTCCCTCTCCCATAGTCTCCATTCACCATCACCCCTCCTCCCCCATCTCCAGATCTTCCATCTGCACCCTCAGAGTCAGACGACGGAGTCAGCTGACCGGAAGGATCGATCAGCATCTCCCGGACACACGGCGGGTTCAGGTCCACGTGGAAGTCGGCCGAGATCTTACAGTTTTTGGACAGGTCGAAGAGGGAAAGGCAGATGAAGAACGGCTCCACCTACAGTGAGGTTGACCCCAGAAATCAGAAAAGATGGGTTAGGGTTCAGTGAAGCCCAAAAATGAGGTTAATTTAGTAGATAGCAGATAAACCCATCGGGTTTATATTCACCATCATCTGCTGTAAATCTGCTTTCCTCAAAATGTGAAAGCTAAACTTTAATATCCACTTATTTAAACCGAGAATCAGATATTTCATCTCCATAGTATAAGGTTCTGCTTTTTCCCCTTTTTTTTTCTCCTTCACTGGATGTAGGCAAAGTCCAGCTGCCCATTAATGCAGCAAAGTGAGGCAATAGCCAATCAACCATAACAGATTTTTTTTTTACTTTCCTTCTAGGTAGCCTGAGATCAAATGACTAACAGGCTTGTAAAAGTTTAGTGAAAAACTTTTTTTTTTTTTTGAATGGGGTAAATAAAAAAAGGGCATCAATCCTTTAAATGCAGCACAACAACACACTTGTTGGTGGTCTTTTTGTGTGAGAAAACTATTAAAACTAAAAGCTTAACCGTCTCACAGCTACTGAGATTTCTTTGTTTTGAATTAGATTGTTTTTATTAGTATTATCCCTATCAGATAAATTAAGCTTAAGCCTAAATTCAGTCTGGAAGACTCTTTTTGATAATCTGGAAGACTCTGATCAGCTTCACCTGAACATCTACCATGTCCCTTCTTCAGCTCCAGCCAATTAACATGGGGCCACACCTTTCTCGGAAGCCAGTCATCTTTCAAAAATCCCCTCCATTTAGCTCCTGGCCTCGCTCTCTCTCCTGCATGCAAGCAAACTTTCACCCACCTCCACCCCATCCCCTCCCTCAGTCTCAGACTATTCTTCAGGGGAAAACTAATCCTTTTCTGCAGTACCAGCCATTGAAAATGGCCCTTCCCAGCCAAATGGCAGCCGAATGGCAGCCGAATTGCATCCAACTTTCCTCCACCTCCAAGTGAAATCCCCTCTAACTTTCAGCCACTGGAGTGACCCCCCTCATGCATATTCTTTCACTCCAACTCCACCCTTTCACTGAATTAAAGGGTCTGACCAGGTGTTGATGCTTCTCTTTAGATCTTAATGTCAACAAATGATGACAGAAAGTATATTTTAGTACAAAGATTGATGTTTAAAAAGGAATCAAAGGGGACAATCCAAGGGCCCATCAAGGAAAGTGGCGAAATTTTGAATGACTACAACTATAAGTTACTCATCTAAGCAAACGTTGATTTGCATCAAAGTCCTCTGCCAGGGTCAGAGCACCAAAGAACTTATTTTTCATTTATGTCTTTACCTGCTTCTACACTGACTAACTAGGCTAACCCATTACCGGTACATAGATTACAGGCATGTCTTGAAGACATAAAAACCTGGATGACTCTTAACTTTCTGCTCCTAAATGCAGACCAAACAGAAGATATAGTCTTTGAAAAAGAGGCTGATTAGTAAGTCACTTCATTTGAATGGGATTAAACTGATTTCAGATAATAAAGTAAAAAATCTTGGTGTTATTTTGATCGGGACCTGCCCCATCACCCCATATCAAAGAGGTTTCTAGAATTTCCTTCTTTCATCTGCATAATCTGTTAGAATCTGTTCTTTCAGGCTCCACTCCTCTTGTTTGTAGATGTTCAAGATCGGCCTGTTTTTCAGTGTAGTCCTGTTTCTCTGACTGTGAAGATTTGCTGGATGTGCTCTTTTCGTCCTCTGACATGGAAGCTGGCTCGGAGCTCGTCTGCCTGGCTGTGTGTTTCCTGGACAGGGCTGCCTTTTACAGTTGCTTTTTGTATCTCCACTTCTGTTTCCTTGAACCCCAGTCAGCCTTGGCAGAATGCCGCTCACACTGAGCCTGGTTCTGCTGGAGGGTTCTTCCTGTTAAAAGAGAGTTTTCCTCTCCACTGTCACTATAAGCATGCTTAGTGCAAGGGATTGCAGAGAGTCAATGAGTCCTCACAACCAGCTGCTTTTCTTTAGACAGAAACATTTTGAAAAAATATGATTGTTTTAACGGTATTAAGAAATTGAATAATACTTTTCTAATTGTAGCTTTTCTCAGTGCGAGTCTGTCCAGGTTGAAATGCCTACATGTTCAGGAAAACTGGGAAGAAAATCAGTAGAAAGACTTTGGTTTTTCCACGAAACTGACTCCCGGTCTGAAATGTGTCTCAGCTTGCTGCCACTTTGTTATTCTCACAGCTGGGTCTTTATAGGGCTAGCAAAGATTTTTAGTTAAAATGTAGAAGCTGGGTAATGGAGACTTACAACTTGTTTATCGATTACTGTTATTCCAACTTCAGACAAAACCAATTAGACTTTTGGCTTCCTAAGAAAATTATATTTTAATTATTGCTTAAATTAAAAGAGAAAAAAATAGCAGGATTTGCTTATGAAATTTCCACTTTCATGATTAAAAAAACGAGTTTCTGAATAAAATTTGCTTTCTTTGCAGGGTGACTGGTCACCCTCTTAAAAATAGCTGCTAAGCACTGAGCTGATAAAAAAAATATCACTCCTTGAACAGCAAATTAGAAAACAACAAAGAAGAGTTTGCTGTGAGCTGGATCTGTGGCTGAGAAAAGGCTTGTCATACCACCACAACTGCTTTGTTTGTAAAGTCTAATGTTTTTTTTTTTAATTCAGACTGTGTTTAAGAAATAGCTTTATTCCTGTATACAGTTATAAGAAGAACCCAGGTCTTTTAATGGGTTGCAAGACATTCAGACATCATTTTTGTTTGTTTGGACAAAACAACAATAGTTTTAATTAAAAAGAGAGATCATATCTCTCCTATCCTGGCTTCTCTTCATTGGCTTCCTGTTAAATCCAGAATAGAATTTAAAATCCTCCTTCTCACATATAAAGCTGTAAATGGCCAAGCTATCCGAGATCTGATTGTTCCTTATGTCCCTAACGGAGCACTGTATTCAC